CCAATTATAACCCTACACATAAACGACTTACTAAGTCCCCTGCCCCTCCAAGTATCTTATCCTGTAGTATATGGCGGTATCAGACTGTATCTTATATTTTGCTGTAGTACATTGTAGTCGATCATTCTATGTCATAGTATGTTCCAGTCGTTTATGAAGTAGCTCCTATGTCCTTCAGGTTCTGTGATGCTTTGACTCCTCCTGGCTGCGAGTGTCCTGGCCTGCCCTCTGGGCATGCACTCAAAAGCGATCAAAGACAGGCTTTACTCAAAGGGAAAAGGAGGGACCCTTAATGGGGACCCCTACCGTATCATGGGCTATATAATGGGTATATAATAGCTATGTTAAGGGCATAGACCAAGGGGTCCTTCTGAAGGGTCCCTCCTTTTACCCTTGGATTTACGGGTTTTGGAACTTCTTTTCTGCGAAGCCTACATGTCCCGAGAGGCAAAAAGGCCAGGACAGCTAGCCTCACGACGGAGGCCGGCCCAAAAAATCACAAACCAGAACTGCTTCCGTATCGACCTGCTCATATGGGAGTCTCCGAAAATGGGGGACCCTCATAAACTACCCTAAATAGTAGGGTTCTTATTATCAGGGCTCCGAAATAAGGTACCCCTAACTTTCGGAAACACCCATATCCGCCCTCGAGCCTTCACTTAATCCCTGGACCTCGCACCCAACGAGAACATGGCATCATCTGCCGAGGAGTTGACAATCACAGTCGTTCAGGGTTTAGGGTTTAGGGTACTTTAGAAGCGCCTCTTTTTCCAGCTGCCAGGTATGCTTGCTTAATGAAGACTTTCATGGGAAACCCTAAACACCTAAACCCTAAACCTTAAACCCTAAACCCGAAACACCGGAAGGCCAAGACAGGGTTTAGGGTTTAGGGTTGGGGGGCTCGAGTTTCAAGGAATCGGGTTTTGGTTTGTCTTGGACCACATGGTTAACTGAAAGCTTGGCAAGTGCAGAGCTGTAACTGACTTCCAAGCTCCTGATGACCAGAATCAAAAGAGGCCCGAGAAACACTCTGCCTCGATAACTGCTGGCACCCTCTGCCGCCACTAGGGAGGAATCGAAACTCGCCTGTTCTCTATCTCTGTTCTCTATCTCTGAAGTCTCAAAGGCATGCAGGAAAGCCCGGAGCTCCCCCAAACACGCCATGTCCTGCACCTTCGGTGCCAGAATCTCCGTGGCGAAGGTTTCGGCGGCCCCGCGAATCGTCTCCTTTCGAGGGCGGAACTTGGGCCGGAATGATGTCACCATCACTTTGAGGTGCGAGAGGGACCGACAAACTCGAACGCTGTGTCGAAGTACTTGAGCCCAAAGCCCTAAACCCCGCCGTTCTTAGGCCTAGAGGATCCCGATAAGAACAGCCTACGAAAGTGCTCTGCACTTAGAGGTTCAGGGACAGCAGACGGAAAGTTCGCAGCACGGGGCTCTGCTGGTCCGTCACTCTTCGAAGCCTGCAAGCCTGAAACAACACAGCACTGAGAAACTTATGAATATCACATAAACGACACGTACTATATAATACTAATGAATACCTTGTAGCCCTCACAATGCCCAACAATGCCCTAAACTCTGCAAACCTGCCCCCCCCCCTCCCCCCCACACAGAAACAACACAAACAGTCGAATCTCTTTGGATCGAAGCTCAAAGCACGAAAATAGCCGGGAGACCCGGTCCTACACAGCCAAACCAAGACCCCGAAGCCTAAGCCATAGACCCCCACACCCCCTAAGCCCTAAGCACGAATGACAAACCCAGCGCTCTTTGCCCAGAACCGACAAGAATAACCAGACAGCAAATAAGTATGCCTAACAGATAACGATGCACCAACAAGCAATGCAGGTAAATAGCAGATGCACCCAAAAACTCTCTAAGGCCCCTGTAAAGATTCATAACAGTGACCCCCACCAACTAACAGAAGCCTCATCGGCCGAGAGGAGCGTGGAGGCCGAACGGGCCTTGTTCGGGGACCACCGTGGGGTCAGGGTTTAGGGTTCAGGGTTTAGGGTTTAGGGTTTGGGGGTGAACCCGAAAGACCAAGACATGAATCCAAGAGCCCAAAACGGTTTAGGGCTTAGGGTTTCCCTAAACCCTATGTAGCAGGGCTTACGCATTGCGTGTAAAGCTTATGCACAGGGCTTGAGGCTGTTTTTGGGCGGTTTAGCTGGATTTGGGGATCACGGCGTGGTTCAACTAAGGCCCTCTTGGTCCCATATTAAGATCGCAACCGTCATTTAAGGTTTAGGGTTTAGGGTTCCCTGCTAGCCCTGCTATAGTCATACACACACACACACACACACACCTTTCGAGGGCTTAATTAATGTAATGACTAGGACAGGATCTTCGGGTATGTTATATAGCGCCTTTACAGGCACGCTCCAGGATTGTTTTGCGATACTTCTTCACAACTGAGACCCCGAATCCTAAAAACCCTGAACCGTCAGTCTTGAAGCCAAGACGCAACCTTAAACCCTAAACCCTAAAACCTACACCCTCAGCCCTAAACCCTAAACCCGCACCCTGAACCCTAAACCCTAAACCCTAAAACCTACACCCTCAACCCTAAAAGCCAAAACCTCACAGAGCGGAAGCCTAAACCAACCCTTCCCCCGAGTTCGGCCTCGCTGAAGTGGCGAAGCTTACCGAGGTATGGGAGCGATCTGGGCTTAGGGTGTATAGGGCTTAGGGGTTTAGGGCTTAGGGTTTAGGGTTTAGGGCTTTGGGCATAGGGGTTTAGGGTTTAGGGTGTAGGGTTTAGGGTTTTGGGCTTTGGGTGTAGGGGTTTAGGGCTTAGGGTTTAGGGTTTTGGGCTTTCGGCTTAGGGTTTAGGGTGTAGGGTTTAGGGCTTAGGGCTTAAGGGCTTAGGGTTTAGGGTGTAGGGTTTATGGCTTCAGGGCTTAGGGTTTAGGGTTTAGGGTTTGGGGAATCTGGCTTCAGGGATTAAGGTTCAGGCTTCAGGGTTGAAGGCTTGAGAGCTTGGGTTTGGGATCGCTCCTGTTGAATACCGGCTCGTGCTAAAATCGGAGCGTGCTGGTGAGGTTTGAGCATGAGTGCAGGTTTGCAATCTAGGTTTTACTGCTGGGGCTCAAGAGTAACCTAAACCCTAGACCCTAGGAGTTTAGGTTTAAGTTCTATTCTGGGACATCGGGGCTAACCTTCCTCAAGCTCTGCACTCAAAGTGTCTTCCAAATTAGCTTGCGGGGCTTGGGACCGTAAAACCTAAACTCTTGAGTTGACGGCGTTCGATGCTTGGGCGTCGGTTGCAGCAAGGAACGGCTTCAAATGGTTTCAGCGCCCAGGGCGCGCGTCCCATGGCTTGGGGACATGTCTACCTGGACCCTGTAGAACCTCCCCTTTTAGGGGTGTCCGGTTAGGATTCCCTTGTATAAGTCCCGAAGAAGGTAGGTTATTTGGATCCAGGTAGGGCTCAGGGGTTTGGGGATGAGGCACCGGAGGTCTGAGGTGTAGGGCTCTAAGTTTCGGATATAAGGATGCCTCACACGGACGTGAGAAAATGGCGCTTGCTTCCAACTCTGAACCACAAACTCCTGAACTCCACAAGTCTATAATATGTGGCTGTGCTATCCCGCACTATACTAGACTATACTATACTGTGCTGTGCCATGCTATACTGTGCTATACGATACCATATGGTAATACAATACTCAGTGCTGTATTACTCTGCATTATAATGTACGATAATGCCCCCGAACTTGGGGTTCGGCCCACTTCTCTGTCTGGGAGTCCGGCCGAGCCGGCGTTGCTGCACCTCGGAGGATGCTATAATATAACCATGATAGAACCATAAAATTACTATACATATATATATATATATATGTATATACATATTGAAATAACGAAATAGCTATCATGTAACTGTAACATAACTACAACACAACCAGAAAAGAATGAGAATGTAACTCTAAAGAAACTGCAAAACCGCGATAGTAACAACGATAGAATAACTGCTGCATAGTTTCAATGTGACTTTAGTAATACGTGTATGTAACGTTCCTGCTGATTGCCGTTTTGGACCTTGAGGTTTGCGGCTCATCAGAAGGACCACCCTCAACGTGCAAAAACCGAGATGTTTCAACCGTAACCCCAAACTCCATGCGATCGAAACTTTAGGCCTCAAACAAAACGAGCCGAGTCACAGCGGCCGCTTTGGCGCATCAACTCACGGGTGAGGGCGCGCATGGCTCCGCGAAGCGAGGGCGACGAAGAGGTTTCCGCGCTTTCTGTCGAGTTCTGGGACGTCTTCGGACGTCGTGTTCGGGATGCTGAAGGTGACTTTAAAGCTGTGACTCCGTGTTGCAAACTCTGGCCCATAGGTCATGCTAAGAAGCTACCAAGCGGACGAAGAAGACTTAAAACAGAGGTCCTGCCGTGTTGAAAGCAACTTCAGGGGTCTGGGGCTTGACGACCACCACAGCTGCAGTTCAAACCTGGAGGAAAGCAAATCGAGGCCTGTACACAGTCTCAGAGCACACCCTCAATGGAGCACATCACCACTGAAGACTGCAAGGGATGCAAACCCCTACACCCTTAACCCTTAACCCCAAAACCCTAAACCCGAAACTCTAGACCCAAAACCCAAAACCCTAAGACCCAAAACCCTAAACCCTGAACCCGAATATCTAAACCCTTAGCCCAAAACCCTAAACCCGAAACTCTAGACCCCGAAACCCTAAACCCTAAACTCAGGCCCAAGGCCTGAAATCCAAAAAAACCTGTAAGAGGGGACGTGATTATTGAAATTTTCCGAACCCTCTATTCAGCTTCAGGCTTTGCAGACTCCTACAACGACCATGGGCCCTAGGGTTGTGGAGCTCGGGTTTAGGGTTTTTTTTTAAGTGCAATAGTCTCTTTCTCCACTGCAGAGAGTCAGAAACTCTCTGCAGTGGTTTAGGGTTTAGGGTTTTGGGCTTTAGGGGTTTAAGGGTTAGAGTTCGGGTTGCGAGCCCAACGCGAGCGATCAGGGCCGCAGCATCCAGAGCAAAGACCACCACGTTCGGCATTTCGAGGCTCCTTTCTCTGCGTAAAACCCTTAAAAGGGTTTAGGGTTGAGAGGGTTTAGGGTTTAGGGTTTAGTCTTCTTCCAGTCTCCTGGAACTTGCAAACTCTTCTCCTTGCCACTTCCCCTCAGCTGTTCTGCATAAACTCCTGGACTCTGGAAAGCAACCTGAAGCAGGGTGAAACCAGTACAACTTGCACGGCAACCCTTTGACCACTGCCTGGGCTTATGGTTGCGGAATTTGCTCTGAGTCGCCACAAGTGCCACGTGCAACAATTAAACATGCGCGTTCCTGCCTATGGCGACTTAAACATAACATCACATTAACCCCTATGAAACCTTTTCCCAGCTGCCATGAAGCCCTGGAACGTGCCACTAAACGTTGCCAGAAGCCTGTACCCCGGTGTGAACCACCCTTGTCCTTTTAGAAATAATAGACAGAGCCCTATACCTATATCCCTTAGTAGGAATTATTCGAGAAGGTCTACTAGCCTATCTGTTTATTCTTTTGGGGGAACCATGAAACAGGACAAGGCTGATTCGAACCCTCTCCTAACTCGCTTCGAAAAGGGCTCGAGGTGCCTTGGTCTTCCGTGATGGATGTTGATACGGCTGGTGATATAAATCCACCTTAGTAAGGACCCTAAACTATGGGAATTATGGTATATTCCTTAGTATGGGTAATGCAGGATTTATGCCATCAACCGTATTTGGGGAAGCCTGCCGGTGGCAATATTGGGTTTCTATGTAGGATGTGAATTTAGAGTTTAGGGCTTTGGGCTTGTTTTTCGGGGAAGGTGGGGTGAGGGTTGCTTTGAAGGTTCAGGGCGCTTCTTTGTTTTAAAGTCAAGGGGGGGGGGCGGTGGTAATGTAGGAACCTGATAAAGAAACCTTGGGCCTTTATTGGGGTTCCTTACATGAACCCTACTGTTTTGGGGGCATAGGCCCAGGGTTTCTTCATCAGGTTCCTACATTAGTGCTGCTTTAGGGCTCAGGGCCCAGATTTTACGGGGACTCGGCCATGCTTGGAGCATTGCGCTTGCACGTTTGAAAGTTTGGGTTTGGCAACAGATGGTAGTTTCCGAAAATGGGGGACCCTAATATAATTACCCTAGAATAGTAGGATCCTTATTATAAGGACCCCAAAATATGGTACCCCCCCCCTAATTTTCGGAAACTCCCAGATCATCATCGAACCAAACCCTGAATACCGAAGCCCTTGAATCCAAAAGCCTGAACCCTAAACCCAGGCCCTAAACCCCTGAACCCCTAAACCCCTTAACCCAAGGCCTGAAATCCAAAAAACCTGTAAGGCTCAGAGTTTTGGGTTCGAAACCTTAGCCTTCAACCCCTGAACCCCGAAACCCCAAACCCAACGCCCTAAACCCCTAAACCCCAAACTTGAAATTCCTGAACCCTTGATCCCCAACATTGCTTACAAAACTAGGGGATTCCTAACAACACCCCAACCCCCGAAGCTTTCGCAGTCGATGCCTTTGTTCAAGACGAGGGGACCCGCAACTCTTTACGGCTTTATTTAGGGTTAGGGTTGGGAGCCAAGAAGAGTGGGTGGCTGCGAAACCCTGAACCCTAAAAGGAGTGGGTGGCTGCGAAACCCTGAACCGGCTAGATGTGGACCTTTGACCCCGGGACATTTGCTGGGCGCACCGACGGTTGCGGGCGTACAACCCCCCAACATCGTGTCGGTGATGGCTTAGGCCCCTTTAGTAACCCCCCCTCCATACCCAAGGCTGGCTGCTTCGCCATCTTCCCAAAGACCATCGTCACGAAGACTGGGGCCTTTCAGGTTGATGAGGAAGTTTCCAGGGTTTCGGGGGTCCAGGATCTACGATTTCCGCTAGGGCTTCAGCGGTTTCCGCTTTAAGGCCATTTTGGTCTTCGGGTTTAGGATTTTTAAGGCCATTTTAAGGTTTAGGATGTACGGCCGTTTGGGATTTCAGGATGTAGGGCTCAGGGGTTCTGATCGGGCATCTACGGCCCGCGACGACCAGAAGGGGCCATAAGAATTGGAATAAGGTTGTGGTGTACATCTTCTAATACTTCTATGGGGAAAATGCGGTGACATTCTTACTGATATATAGTTCAGGGTTCTATGTTCTGAAACGCTAGGGTGGAGGGTTCTAGAAGGAGCCAAGCGAATTAATGGAGAAGGTTCCAGAACGGGCACCTGCACGGAAGCAACGGCCCTCAGATACTGACCGAGGAAGACGTCCAAACCCTTTCCGGAAGTGATGGGAAACCCTGATCCCGAAACCCTCCAAACCCTAAACCCTAAACCCTAAACCCTAAACCCTCTAAACCCCCGAAACCCGAAGCCCCAAATGCCGTTAACCCGGAGCCCGAACCGGGAACCCTGCCCCGAAGCCCTACACCCGAAAATGGCCTCCGCATCAAGGCGTGGCAGTATCGCAGTCGCTTGCGATAGCACCTTTCGGGCAGACTCTTGGGTAATACGCTGGACTAAATGATTAGAACCGGGGGGCATTTGAACTCATTGAGTTAGGGTTTAGGGGTTTAGGTGTTGAGGGTTTAGGGCTTAAAGATGGACACCAGGATCCCGATAAACCTTAGCCTTAAATGCATAAACCTGCAGGACTCCAGTTCACCCCAGAAGTTTAGGAAAATCCGCCTCCAGGGGTGCTACGGCTGATGATCTAAATCCTACATTACCTTATGTAAGGACCCAAAACTATGGGAAAAAATAACATATTCCTTATTATGAGTAAATCCGTAGTAGTATACTATGCTCTGTAAAATAATACACCAATATAAGATAATCTATATATATGTGCGTATAAAGTATTCCTTACTATTGGTAATGCAGGATCTATATTACCAAGGCCTTTGGCTCCCAGGCCCCTTCTCCCTCTTCCTTGATCTAACAACCCTGAATGCTCAACCCTCGGCCCTAAACCCCAAACCCTAAACCCCATACCCCAAAGCCAAAACCCCAAACCCTAAACCCTATACCCCAAACCGGCCCCCAACCCTGAACCCCAAACCCTAAACCCTAAACCCATTTAAGGCTCTTCCTTGATGTAAAAGTCTTGGGGAAGATCTGGAGCTTCGAAAACCGAGCAGCGCTGAAGGAGGAAAGGGGCGAAATGCCACGCCGCGGCAGCGATCGCAGGGGAACGAAGCCCGGCCTCGAGTGATCCCTAAACTTTCGACCCTAGATCCGACAAGTATATGATATAATACGATGCTATATAAACAGTACATTATATTGTAATTCTACAGTACAGTATAGTATAGTATAGTATAGTAGGGTGTAGTGTAGTGGAGTGTGTGATATCATATTACAGCATTTAGCTCTACACTTCATATAACCCTAAGACCTAAAAGCCCTGAACCCTAAGCCCTACAACCCTAGCACGTTCAACCCGGAGTCCAAGGATAGGATTTCAGAGTTTGTTTTGTGCGTCAGGACCTGTGTTCTGCAACAGAAGCCTTACACTTTGAGGGTTGTGTTTGAGACTTCCAGGTTGTGCACGAATTGGGGTTTGGTCTGAGGTTTTTGGCGTTTTCGGCTGCGGCGACGGGTTCAAGGCCTGAGGAAGGGGTTGCCAAAAAAAGCCACAGTGAACTCCGATGTGAGACCTCAAAACTGTCCCCTTTCAGGCATCTATCTTGGTAGGACCGACTAGGATCCAGGATTTACAGTATTTGCGACTTTAAGGTTGCTTCGCACTTCAAGAAATCCTCGGATCCATGAGACCTTACAGAACCCCATATAGAACCGGTAAGGAGCCCCCCTTTTCGAATCCGTATGATTCCAGACTTAAGCTGCTCCGATTCGCATGAACTGCGGAGCGCTTCCGTGAAGGCCCTAGTCGACACATGCTCTTGTGTGAAAGCTTCGGTACTTTCTATACGGTAATTACACCCCTAGAAACCATTAGACTTTAAGCTGTTTCTGAGGGGTTTATATGAACCCAAAATTGAAACTATTTTTACGCACCCCCCCCCCCAACATATGGGGTCGTACTATAGCTGCAGCGAGGGACCCGACGGAATGACAGTGGCCATTGCTAGTGACTCCGGTTCGTACATTACACTACTAACCAGTGGTTTTGGGGGTTCCCTTGGCTCTTTAGCTCCTTATTTAATAGGGATTATCATCATCCCTGGCTCCTTAGCTCCCATAATATCCATTGTTAGACTACTTTGCCTCTCACCCTTACGCCCAAATCCCTCACCTCCAGCCACGATGGCAAGGGTTTCGACCACAGAACTTAACCCGAAACCTGCTACCAGAAGATCTGACTGTGATCTCATCGTAGCCATTCTGCACTGCACTCGGCAAGCGCATCTCTCTTCCAAGTTCAAGCTTCTGTCCGACAAAACAAAATCTAAACATCAAGACCTACGCCTCAAAAAATGCAAATGCACCCTAAACCCTAAACCCCTAAACTCCTAAAATCAACCCCCAAAAAGCCCTAGGATCGCATTGGGAAACCCTATGCCATTGGGAAACCCTAGACCCAGAATGCTACATATTCAGGCTGAACCCTGAAGCATGAAGCCCAAAGCCAGACCGACACCAAAGAGCCTTCCCGAACCCTCCAGCCAGTGGCCTGAAACCGTAAACCCTGCACTTTCCATGTGTGAATTGTGGGTTTGGCGCCCATGGGTCTTGGTTCCGGGTTTAGGGTTTAGGGTTTAGGATTTAGGTTGGCCTTGGTTTGAGGATGCAGTTTGTGGCCGACACCCTGAACCTTTTCAGAGCCAGTGTGCTTGGAGCAGTTGCCCGGCACCCCCTCTGTGAAGCCAGAGCAGAAGCAGGGGTAGCCGTCGAGAAGGCCTTGCGGCAGATGCGCAAGATCCAAAGCTCTCTTCAGCTGTAAATGACTGTCGGATATGGTGTTGCAGAGTGGGGTTGGTCCGTAAATGCCTCCCCAAATTCGGCGACCCAACACTGAAACCCCAACTACCATGCCTTTACGTCTTAAACCCTAACTATACCCAACCAAAATCGGCACGCCCCAAAACCCTAAAGCCGAATTGCCTCAAATGTCGAGTGACGAACCCATCCCGGATAGCATTAGTCCCCGATGGCGGCGCGTAGGTAGGTGGATGTGAGGACCCCTCGTAACTTGAGCGCTCAAGATTCAGGGTGTAGGCAAAAAACGACGATTGCCCCGGTTTACTATAGGGGCCTTAATAATTAGAATAGGGCTTAGGGGCCATTATACTATAACCATATAAGAGATCAATGGTGTTGGTAATTATGTAGGCCCCTACAGTACCTTCATCCCATGCCCTTGCAGCCTTTTGCACCCCCGGGCCTTCCTGTCTCAGCGGTAAGAGGGCGTGCGAAGACCAAGCCCTGCGATGCGAGGCGACTTCTCTCTAGCTGGCTTGATTGATTTAAGATTAGAGATGAAGGTAATGGAACGGCCTTAATAATTAGAATAGTGTTTGGGGGGTATATTGTCCTATGACTATGATCAAGAACCCCGTACATTAGTGTCATATGGGCGGTTGTCGAAATTATGGTCCCTTTCTGGGTCCCTAAAATAATACGGCACCTATTATTTAGAGTACCTTGGGCACGGTTCCCAACTCAGTAATAGTTGATTAATATTTATTCATGATATAGATATAGTAGAACCTTAATAATAGCCCCATTTTAGACTCTTACTGTATGGGGGCCGTACCTAAAGGGTACCCTTAATTTTGACAACTACCCATATAGCGTCATCTTTAAGGCCCTTTACCCCAAGAAGGTATATTCCTTAACTAAGGGATATTGGAGTCTCTTAAGCCATAAACCCTATAGATCCCTCATAGGAACCCTGAAAAGCCCCGACACACCCCAAAGGCTCAAGGCCCGTCGCTAAAACAGACCCAACCTCTTCGGAGGGTTTGGGTTTTAAGTGAACCGACCCCTAAACTTCAGACCCTACACCCTAAAACCTAAACTCTCTCAACCCGAAACCCTAAACCCTGAACTCTGAGCCCGGAACGCTAAACCGACCCCTTTTTGAGGGTCCTGGGGGCCTTCCCCGCTCGTCCTGGCTCTTCCCACAGATGCTGCGACACGTCTCCTGCGCGCGGGCTACCTCGCAGCGGAAGCTTCGGGCTTCAGGGCATACCCAGAGACTCCAATATGCCTTAATTAAGGAATATACCTTAAATCATATAAGGGATCCTACCATAATTTAAGGAATATTCCTTAATTAAGGCGCGCGCGCCTAAAAAAAACTACCCTGAAGACAAAACCTACAGAGGAGCGGCCGAGGGAAGTGTACAAAAGTGTGGCAGGCGCAGCAAAATCGCACGTTTTGACCTTCCCCAGCGGTATTGTGGCAGAAGCAAAAACGGGACACGATTTCGTGTCCAGTTTTCTGGGCGCCCTAGGCGACCACCAGTGCTATCATCATCGATGTCAACATCGCTATCATCCTCACAGCCACCATCCATATCACCATCATCTTCATCATTCTCATCATCATCGTTATCATCATCGTCATCAATGTGTTGAGCAGTGGGCTTTTTGTGTGCTGGGAAAAGCCGGCCTGAATTTATTCTCCGGACCTGGGCTGCAAAGCTAGTCTTACGGCAGAAGGCGAAAACACTGGTGGGGCCGATGACTTTGAAGGTCGCGGCAAGTTTGTTGAGGTTTGTGGGTGGAAAAGGTATGGGGCAAAAGGTCTTTGCACAGTCACCTTTGCCAGATCGCTAGGTCATCATCATTGCTACCACGATTGTTATCATCATCGTTATCATCATTGCCATCGCCATCGATATCATCGTGACCATCGTAATTTTCATCATCATCGTTGTCTTCCTCGTCGTCAACATTTCGAGCGGTAGTTTTTTTTAGGCGCGCAAGCCTTAATTAAGGGATATTGGAGTCTCTGGGTATAGGGCTTTAGGGTTTCTAGGGCTTTTAGGGCTTTAGGGTTTTTAGGGAGTTCAAGGCTTTTGGGGATTTAGGGCTCTTAGGGATTTCAAGGCTTTTAGGGCTCCAGGGTTTCTAGGGCTTTTAGGGCTTTAGGGGTTTTGGGGCTTTAGGGCGTTCAGAGTCCAAGGGCGGTAGGCTGCACATCAGAGGAGGGCCGGACCTCTGGCAAGGCGCCATGAGCAGACCCGGAAAGCCACTGCAGGCCCAATGCCTAAAAACGCCTTGAACACCCTAAAACCTAAACCTCAAAAGCCCGCAAATCCCTACATCCCTAAATCCTAAACCCTACCACACCCTCTGAAGCTGAGGAACCGTGAGACCAGGACTGTTGTCGATGAAGTGCTCGGACCACCTGGGAGATGGTAGGGTTTAGTGCTTCGGGTTTGCAGTTTCGGATAAGGTTTCGGATGTAGGGTAGACTGGGTACCTAAAAGACTCTGTTAAGGGTTGCTATATGCGGTACCATAAAGGTTAGTAAGGTTTCATCAAATAAAACTATACAGTTGCTGTAGGGCTCTACAAAAGTGTCTAAACGGGTTCTCTACGTACAATAAGGTTGCTATGGTTCGATACTCGTCTGCGCTAAGCTCCTTCGTTCATTTGCGGTGCTGTCTACTCTGACCTTCAGCGCCCAATAGCCCAGGGTTTCGGGTAGGGAACCTTAAACCCTGATATAACATGGGAGTTTCCGAAAATTAGGGGGTACCTTCTTGTGGGGTCCTTTTTTCTGAGGATCCTAGTATTTAGGGTACCATATCAGGGTCCCTTATTTTCGGAAATTTCCACATAAGCCTGAATAGCTAGACAAGGGCTCGAAAAGCCCTTTGTAGACCTTGCTTAGTTCGTGTGACGGTTTTGGCACCTTCCTGCTGCGATCATGCGTCGTAGAAGTCTGTGAAACTTATGGGGACGGCTTATCCCAAGCGAAATGTGCTGTCTCCACCAAGGCTACAATCATTCTGGACATGATGCTGCTGATGCATCATCGTGTGATGATGACGGCTAATGGAGGCTATCAGAACCTGAGTCCCTGGCTCAAGACCCTAGGATCCTGTTTTGTAAAGTTAAACCCTACTGCAAAAAATCTGAGTCTCACTCAAACCCAGGCACCGAGCCTCCCTAAATTGCAAACCCTCAGCCCGGACGCAGAAAAAGAGTGATGGGAGGCCATAAGGGGGGTTTAAGATTCTTGGGGTAGGGGTTCCTTAATATGAACCCCATTATGGGAACCCTAATCCCTACTAAACCCATAGGCTAAAACCCCTTTTGGTCTCCTATGAAAGAGCCCAGATCTCTGGCCCGGCGGCGGGGCTTTCCTGGCATCCGCCAGAGCGAGGCAGCCCGTAACCTCTGTGTAGGAGTTATCTTTCAGAATGGGTCTCCCGCTCGGGGTTTAGGGATTTGAGGTTCTTGGTTTAGGGTCTTTCAGAACGGGTCTCTCGTTCAGCGTTACGGCACTTGTTCGTGACCGCAAACTGCATTCGGAACACCAAGGTAAGTGGATAATGATTGCAGGGGCCAGCTTGAACACGACCACAACCACCACCCCCCCCCCCCGAAGGTTCAAGGCTCGGGATGTTCAAGTTCTGAAACTTCACCGGATTTACGGTCTCTCCGCCAACCAAGTGGCAGTATGCCCCAGCACGCCCAAGGAGGAGTACTCCTCCGTAGAGAGGGCTAGGTTGTACCGATGCCTGCAGGCGCAGGTTGTTCCCGGGCTAGGGATCGAAGTTTGAGCACCCGGTTCATGGTTTGGGATTCAAGCCTTAGGGTTGTAGCACCCGGTTCATGGTTTGGCCCTAAACCCTAAACCCTAAGATTCAAGCTTTAGGGTGTATGGCTTTTGGCTTCGGAGTCAGGGTTTCGAGGGCCCAGACAGGAGGGGCTCCCTGCTATGCTCGGGCTTTCCCACGTGGCCCAAAACCTCAAACCCTCAAACTCTAAACTGAGTCCGCTGACAACACCAACCCAAAGCCTGCTACCGCAAAGTAGCCATGATATCGGGACCTTAACCATCGGAAATATGAAGGCTACACTATGGATGATAAAGAAGTTGTGTTGATACTTCTTCAGACTTTTATCTCAATATCAAGCCCCGAGCACAAGCGAAAGGAGACCGAAACCCTAAACCCCTGAACCCCTAAACCCCTAAGCCCTAAACCCCCAAACCCTAAACCCCTAAACCAATAAACCCCCAAACACTGAACCACTGAACCCTGAACCCCTGAACCCTAAACTCTAAACCGACCTCATGTGAGACTCCACCGTGCCGATGTGCAGCTCGAACCTGACTTGTAGCTCTGGGTTCAGGGCTCTAGGCAGTAGAGTGTAGGGCGTTCGGGCTTCAGAGTTTAGGGCTTTAGAGTTTAGGGCTTTACGGCTTCAGAGTTTCGGGTGCAGGGGTTTGGGTGTGGGGTTCAGGGGTTCAGGGTTTAGGGTCAACGGTGAGTCTTGCGGGTTTTAGGATACTTGTTTGCTTTGAACAGCACTTCTCCCTCCGCAGTGCAGAGGACGCCCCCATCAGGGGGTTTCTGGGCCGTCAGGTCCAAGCTCTAGAGTTCTAAACCCTAAACCCTAAACCCCAAACCCTAAACCCTAAACCCTTCATTGCTACAGAATTCCATGAGACACTTGGACTCAGGGCTGCCTAAGCTTTAGCTTTAGCACCCTACTGTAGGGGTTTAGGGTTATGACCCCGGATCCAGGCAGAGCCTACGGGCCAGGAGGTGCACATTTTCCCAATATCCTAAACTTTAGGGTTTCGGGAGACCCTGAAGCCCACAAAGCACTTCAAGATGCAGCCTTTTGCCCCCAAACGCAGCGTCAGCCAAAGCAGATCCCAGTCGCAGTGTGGGGCGCAGGGCCCTCGACACCCGGAGCCCAGGAAGTCCGCAGAACAGGGCGCCGATTTCTTCGGCCTTAAGGGCGCCCTTTCAGCAGAATCTTGGCAAGAAGAAGCCCCTAGGTGCCTCCTCGAGGGCCCTCGGAGGCACCGGGCCTTTGAGCCAAGGATCCCTTGAAGAAAGCCTAAAGCTTTCAGAGCTGCTCTCCAAAAAGGGCGCATCCTCCAAAACAGCTCTCCGACTCATGCCCGCGACTCGCACCGAAGCACCGGAGTTCCTCGAACTCTGCGAGGTTTCAAGGCCCAGAAGCTGAAGATTTCAAAGCGGCGACCAGAAACCGCGTCTTTTCTTGGTCCACCTCTGGAGCCCTAACCCTAACCCCTAAACCCTAAACCGTGGCCCTAAGATTAAATCAAAGACGGACGAGAAAGAGCCTCCAAGGCCTTGGGAGAGCGCATTTCTCTCAGCCACGGAGCACTCAGGCAGGGTATCGCCTTCAACTCCTTGCAACGCTTAAACCCACCCGGCTCCAGGAGAAGAACACTCTTCTCGGCCCTAAACGCCTAAATCCCGGAAACCTGAAGCCCTAAAGCCCTCAAAGCCTAAAACCCCGATCTGCAAGAACTGTCCACCAAAGCGCATGTCCGCAGCTGCGGCGTCAGACCCGACCTCCCTCACTCTACTTTCCACATCGAGGTGCTGCGGGCATCAACGGCCTTGGGAGCTTTTGAAGAATTTTGGGCTGGGCGGCTTTGATGGACCCTAAAGCCATATCCGAGGCGGCTCGCCAAGCCCAGGCTCATGGCTAAAGGTGCTGAAATCCGGGAGTTTGCCTCCGAAGCTCTGCAAGCTTCTTGCGCCGAGATCCATCCCCAAAAGATGCAAGCTATGGCGTTTTGGCGGGCTTTGGGGCGGTTCGGTTTAGGGCTACTAAGGCCAATCCACGGCTGGGCCTGAACTCGGCCAGATATTCCCCAGGTGGCGGCCCCAAACGACCAGCCAGAGCCAGCGGGGAGTCCCCCCTCAGCAGGACTTGGCCAAGAAGCCCTGGCTGAAGTATGGGGGCCCCCATGCCCGACTCGTTCCGGTGAGCCTTGGGGATGAAGACTTTAGGAGCAAGGGCAGAGATCCCTAAACAGCAAACCCTAAACCCGAAGGCGTTGGGGATCATCTTTAGGATTTCGGATCCCGAGCGCATCTGCAGCCTTCAAATCACCTTCCATGGGTTCGGGAACAAGGGCGCTCCCTAAACCCTAAACCTGTGGCTTCCTCGAGACGTCACTGGACGTTTTTCGAGGCCCTCTGGTCTGACGCGCTCTTCTGCAATCTCATAGGGATCTATAAGGGATCTATAGTAGGGTTCCAAAGTATAGGGGCCTTAATAATTACCAGCTCTGCAATCAAGGTGCATCCAAGACCGTCGCCCGGCTTAAGAGGATAAGTGGGACCATGCGAAGCGGGTGCTCGAGAGAAAATCTTGCCCCCGTGTGCCTCACCCAAGCAGAGAGATCTCTCCGCCGGTGTCTTCCTCTTGGGTCTTTCAAGGATCGTGCAGGCTCAGCCACGTCAGCACCTCGTCCTGGACATCGGCAGTACGGATTTCTGCCGTCTTGAGGCCTTAAGCTGCAAACCCCCCCAGCAGAGGGAAGGCTCCCGAGCTGGGCTCATCTCAGAGCCCTCTTCTGGAGATCTTGCGTGAAGCTTCGGCATGCCGGCTTCACATGCCGGGTTCAGAGTCTCACCCTTGGCGAAGCGCCCCTGAATCCCAGAATGGCTCCGTCATCCAGGCTACTGGCAGCCTTGAGGCTCACACGCCCTACAGCACGTAGAGTCTCAGAGACTCAAGTCACAAACACAGGCCCGAAGTTTCGGATGTTTCGGGCAGCTTGGCACCAAGAGCCCACCAAAGCAGGCTTTGGCAGACCGGAGCGCAGAAGACAGAAAGAGCACAGCTTCAGGAATCCTCGAAGTTGCCAAGCCGATTCTTCCTCCTTCGGCCCATGTAAACCTGCAACCCCAACAGGGTGGATCCCTGACGGAAGCCGGACCCAAAAGTTCCAAAAGTTCCAAAGCCAAGCCGCCACGGATGAACTCTTTTGTCCTCAAGGAAGAAACCCTAAACCCTAAACCCTAAACCCTAAACCCTATAAACCCTAAACCCTAAACCCGGGCCCCACCGCCCGGGGCCCGAGCTCAACGAAGAGTTGGGGATTAGGGCGTTTGGAAACCACCGAACGCCCAAGGATACCGGAAGTGAGATTTCCTGCAGATCAGAGAACCTCAGCTTCGGTCTTGCTTCTTCAAGGCCTTAGTGCTTTAGGCTCTGCAGAATTTGGGCCACCAAGCGTCGACAATTGCTGGAGCTTCTGAAGCAAGGAAGTCCAGGCCTAAACCCAGATGACACGGGCGTAGCACTGGTTGGTGGGCTCCAAGTGCTCTATGTAAGGGAAAAAGAAGTATCCAAACATCGAGACAATGAAGCTCGGGAAATCGGCGCCATCAGAGACCTCGGCAGGCTACTCAGACTTTCGACAAAGGCTTAAGGCTAGGATTCCAGACTTCTGGCTGTCTTGAGCTTAAGCGCTTCAGTGAGACTGCTCTCATGGCTCCACTCAATCGCATGTGGCGGCATCCGTGCTAAGCGGGGAGGCGAACATGCTCCACGACACTAAAACGGACCTCCTAAACCCTAAATCCCCTAAATCCCCTAAGTCCCCTAAACCCCAAACCCCCTGAACCCTAATAAACCCCCTAAGCCCTAAGCCCTAAACCCCCTGAAGCCCAAAACCACGAAGCCCAAACCTTGGCCACATGAACCCAGAGCCCTGACGCTTCGGGCAGAGGGCGCCACGAGTGCACGGCGCGGTCGCTAGATGCGTTAGGAGCATGGGCTTAGGGCTTCGGCTCTGGGGTTTAGGGCCTCTAGGGTAGGGTTTCTTGGGGCTTCCGAGGCTTTGGGGCTTCCGAGGTACCTTATGGCACTCGAGACTTCTGAGACTTCAGGGCTTGGGGTGGGTTTTGCTCGAGGACCGCGGTGCGGCAAGGCCGACAAGAGAGGACAGCTCTCTGCCAGCGTGGTGCGCAAATGTCTCGCGTCTCCTAGACCGCTGACGATCGTGGGAGCACTGAGATCGAACTTCGATGTGTGAAATGTCTCAAGGCCTGTAGAGCTGGACTCTCTCAATGGCACCTGCAGCCGCAGAAGTCCTCAAGGCCACAGATTGCCCCACCCTCGTGGGGCGGGAGAGGAGCTGCAAGCAGGGCGGCCACGCCACGCATGTCCTGGCAAGTCAGCCTACTTCAAAAACCATGCCCCGAGGCAGCCCTGGGTTCGAAAGCTTCTCTTCGTGCTTCGGACCGTTTCGCAATGTAGAGGCCTACTTCAGGATGCTTCCAGGGCTTGGAGATCGAAGCATTCCATGCCAGGCAGTCACTTCTAGAAGCCGTGGAAGCTACGACCCCAATGCTGTGCTCGCAGAAGGGTGGTTGATCTTATCTGAGGTTGGATCTTCAAACCGGCGACATGACATGGTGACGAGAGACTTCCCTGGAGGACTTCAGGTAACTTGAGAGCGCATTCTAGCTGAGCACTCAGGAAGTGATCATCTGATCCTCCATAGTGGTAAGAATGGCTTCCAGATCCTCTCGGAGATGACTGTCACCAAAGGGTCTTGCCAGGACCTGTCCATGCAGGGGCTTAGGGACAAGCTTGGGGGCATCTCGGCATCCCCCGTGGCAGGGAACGACAGCCCCTCGGCTCCCACAGAAGAGTGTGCAGACGCCGCGCTGACTCAACCAGATGCAGTTTCTTGCTCGCTCCACTAGAACGAAGACTAAGCGTCATCCATGAGGGCAGAAGTCCCGGTGTTGACCACGGCTCTCAGCTCCTCGCAGAAGGGAAGGCACCCTGTTAGCGGCCCATTCTGGAATCGAAGTGGCGGACAGCAACGGCGGAAATGCTTCAGCTGCCACCAGCTGTACACGCAACCGCCAAGACATATGTCATCACGGGACCTGTGGCACATCCGCTGGAGACGATCCATCTGCCCAATGCGCACATCAAGGAGAGCAAAGCTGCTTGGGAAAGTGAGGCTTGCATCGCACGATTCGGCGCTGCTGTGCCGGCAGACATGACAAATACCCCAACAGCACCAAATCTCGCTCAACGGGATTGGGTAAACCAATGGTGAGCCCTTAACCCTAAAATGCACTGACGCACGCTTCCGGCCTCTGCCACGACTTCGAGTCTACAACGGCTCCCTGAACCCGCAGCACTGCGTTCATTTTTAATGCAAACAAATCTCAGGCGCCTTGCCGGGTTGAGCGCTCAAAGCCAGTTTACAGAGGTTCAGGGGCCGAGGAGAAAGCAGATTTAGGGTTTAGGGCTTTGGTGTACAGAGTTTGTGCGCAATGCCTGGCTGCACGTCACTCTTCGTCTCCGGGCAAACATTGCCGCGCACTCGGCATGGGAAGGTCAGCCTCTTGGCAAAGCCATCCCAGCCTCTGAGCTCTGCGTTCTACGCAGCTTCCACAGCTGAAGGACCCAACAAAGCCTGATTGACTCACGCCCGGACGGTCATTCTGAAAGGCGCCAGCTTTTGGGGATGTGAGCAGAGACTCACAGAATTTGATCGACCAGGCGGCGACGGTTGCTGGAGGTCTCGAAGCACAAATCTAAGCAGAGCAGCTCACGCCAGTGGGCTCTGGGTTGCGGAGGCTGCTGCCAAAGTGAGGGTTTAGGGATACCGGGGCTTTCAGTCTTCTGAGACTTCGGCGGTTTGGATTTAGGATTTGACCTGGAACTTTCGCGGACGAAGCTGTGGCAAGGCTGATACGAGAGGACAGCTCTGGATCAGCGGCGTGGTATGCAACTGCCGGAAGATCGTGTGAACGCTGAGATCGAACACCAGCCCCCGACACGGTTCCATGCTGGACTCTTTCAAGGTCCCATCACCTTGACCACCTGGAAAGGCCTGCATGGAAGTCCATAGACACCTAGAGGTCCTCAAGGCCACAGATGGCCACACCCCGGTGGCGAGGGAGAGGAGCTGCAAGCAGGGCGGCCACGCTGCGCATGTCTTGGCAAGTCAGCCTATCAAAACATGATAAAGCTTCATTAGGGCTTTGTAGGCCTTTTACATGAAAATGTTACATGGATACTACTTGTGTTACTTGTGTTCACTTCAGGATGTTTCCCGACCTTGCAGTGGAGAAGGGCAGAGAGCAATAAGGGTCTGCAGCCGAGTTCTTGGGAAGCTTTGAGGATTTCTGGGCTTTCAAAGACCCTGACAGCTGCTACTCCGATACCCGAAGACTGCGACAAAAATCTCGCAACCGCTACCCTAAACCCTAAACCCTAAGCTGACTTGACTTCCAAGAGAGATACAAGGGCAGCCTTCAGACGAGTCGCATTAGCGGCTTTACGAGCCTTCGGGCGTTTACCAGAAGAGAATGGCTTGGGCGGTTTAAGCTGCAAGTCTGAAGACGAACTCTGGAAGCACGACGCACCCCTCTCAATTGGTGCTTCAGAGTGAGCGGGGAGTAGTTGCAGCTCCGCGAAAAGGGAGAGCATCCTGGGATCTGTCTTGGCACCGGGATCGTCAGAAAGGAATCACAAATCCCTGCTAGCTGCATGTCGGACGTACACCTGGCGTTGGCGCCGCTCCGGTGAGAATCTGAAGCAGTTACCACCGACTTGCGTAGAACCGGATCACTGCCGACTCAGATTCCTTCCCCCAGGACCCGCACCCCATAGCAGGACAGGAAAACGGAATGGCATGCATGGTCGGGCAGGGCACATTGAGGCACGGCTATTGAGCGTAGCCCTTCTCCATAAACTGAACGCGAGGCCAAAGCAAACGAAAGCTTGTAGAGCTGCGAACCCTCGACCCAAATAAGACGAAACCCTTGCTCCTGTCTGACGCTCCTGTGTCCTTTCCCGACGCCTGCAGAGCCAGGAGACCCACCTCAGAATCCAGCCAAAGCCGGCAGACCCTCACCTTAAACCGCCAAATCCGAAACTCCTACCCCTAAACCCGAAGCCCGAAACCTTCTACCCGCCAAGGAGGACAGACTGAGAGCTGAAAATGTAGAGCCCAGAGACGGCTGCACGGTTTCGGGTTTACGGGTTTAGGCGTTTTGGGGTTTAGGGGTTTAGGGTCATGGCCCCTCTTTGCAATAAGTTTGGAGGCCTTGGGTGTCGTTCTGATCGTCGGCAATTTTGCGAGGAGGGAGGTCCTCTCACAGAGGTGCCGAAGTGGAGACGCCAGGAAGGCTGCAACGGGCTGGTTCAGGGATCAAGCAGGGCGTATCATGGACTAAGCCCCCCAGCGACCATTTGAGAACCAAGGTCTCCTTTTCCCGAGCCATCAGGTCAGCTAACGTAGGGAGACCCCCAAGAGGTAAAGGGCTCACAAGGGCTGCTGCCTCGGGAACCGGGCAGCTGTGGCCGCTTCCTTGGCGCTTTCATAAGCTTCAGGGCCTCAGGAATCTCCCCCCCTCAGCACTCTAGCAAACAGCTGCCGAAAACCTGCTTCCTGGGTACTCTCAACCGGTCTTGCCTTCTTGTGCCAGCTTCCGAGCAGAAGAGAGGTCAAGGTTAGATCTTACTGACATCAAGCTGCCAGCAGCAACCCTCCTTCATTCCCCTTGAAGCGGCGCCTTGCCTTCAAAAGCCGGGATGAAGGAAGGGAGGACCAAGGATGCCTTGTGTACGTAAGAATTCTTCTTTGGTATTCCCCCACCTACCTTCATCCCACCTTGGGAGGTGGCAAGTTCAAGGCCAGCCAAGAAGCCGTGGATCTAGTGGCCGGCACACCTCACCTTTCCGGATTCTACTCGGACATTTCGAGGATGGGCGAAGCTCTGATAAGCCTCACCGTTCTTTAGGGTTTAGGACTTCAGGTGCTGATGGACTTCTGAAGCAGCAGAGCCCCCCAAAACCCCTAACCCCCCCCCCCCCCCCCCAAACAGGCGGCCATGGGTCAAGACATCACCGGACTCCCGGCCACCACCACGGCTCTAGTTTGTCAGCAGACCACTGTCGCCACTGGGAGTCAGGAGGGATGCTCCGGTGCAGATTTGCCTCTTTTTGGCCTTTTTGGGTCCCCAGAACCCTACAACCCGACAAGCCTTTTTTGGCCCACCTAACGCCCTCCAAGAAATATTGTGAAGGGTTCCGCTGCCTTGGGTTTCAGGCTGGTTGAGTCACGGATGCTTGGGTCCAGTGTTTCGGACAAGTCTCGGATTCGGCCTGGTGCCCGCGAAAGTGCCCGAAAGGTGCAAGATACATGGGAGTTTCCGAAAATAGGGGACCCTAATATGGTACCCTAAATAGTGGGATCCTTATTATAAGGACCCCAAATTGAGGTACCCCTAGCTTTCGGAAACTCCCACATGGGTTCTGAATATTGGGAGTCTCTTTTGGGGAACCGCACTCAGGGATTCTCGGATTGGGGACCCGAACATCCGAAGTCCCTGCTGCCCCCTCTGTGAAAGGAGGAGTTTGGGCTAAGAAGCTGTCCTCACAAGCAACATGTCGCAGAGCCCAGCTTCTTCGAAAACGTAGGTCGCAGGGACTTAAGCCCAACTGCCGCGTCAGGAGAGAGTTGCGGAGAGAACGGCCCGGAGCCCGGAAACCTCTACAAAAATGGGCTTGTTCAGGCAAGAAGGCCGGGTCTGTCCGACTGCAGGGACGCTTCGAAAGCACTTCGACAGGGAGCCCGGCGAAGAGGCAGCAGAGCTGAGTCGGCCAAGGGCACGAAATTCTGAAGGACTTGGCTTACCCTGCCCCTACAGACGAACCCCAAACCCTAGATCCTGAACCTTGAAGCGGCAGAGGCCCGCGAATCCCGAAGTCTGCGGGCTTAAGGTCCTCCTCCTGCCCAGTCTTTGTCCAAAGAGCTGAAAAAATTAGGACGTCGGTAAGGGTTTCGGGTTCAGGGTCCGAGAATGAATCGAGCTCTGTGGGCTCCGCCTAAGGAGGGTGCAGAATACCGGGAAAGTCTCAGACGGAGACTCCCGAAGCAATGCTACGCCCAAGTCCTGGGCTGCAAACTTTGTCCGCTGACTTCACCCCCGCATGGCGGAGAAGGTTTAGAGGGCTTTCCTGGGGCCTTCAAGCGACAAGCCCCGGCCTCCGGAGCTATTCTCGACAAAACCCTGCCACTGCCACTGTCCGTCTGGACAGTTGTTAGCTTAAGCCGACGGCAGCATGCGGTTCTGGAATGGCACGGCTACGAAGCGAAGCACCGAACTCCGGGGGCTAGCAGCGTGGTCCGCGCGGGGCACACGATGTGCTTACAGGGGGCTTAGAAGCCCCTTGTCCCTGCTTCGTCTCAGAGAGCAACCTCAAAGACTCTCCGAAGCACAAGCCCGACCTGCGTGTCACCTCTTCAAGATCTCCTGCACCAAAAGATTCTCACAGTGGAAAGGTTGTGGGAAACCCGAGGATGCCATGGAAACTGTAGGAAAACACTGTGGCATCGTTTGCTGGGCGACGGGGGAACGGCAGGCTGCCATGGCTCTAACAACCGAAGGCTGAGCAGCAAAAATCGACGGAGAGCTTATATGGCTAGCATAAGCAAGCCCACGTTGAAGCGTATGTCTAAAGCGTCGTCGAGGATAAAGAAGTCCGCTAGAAGGAACCATGGTCTGGACGAGAGGTGTAGATAGATGATCCTGACGCTCAAAAAGTCACAGCGCGGCATGCACAGCTGAACAAGGAATCCTCTGCCATATTCACAGGACTACCTCCTTGTAAACTTTTCACTAGGACTCGATTAGGAATCAAGTTGGCGTTTATTTGAGGGTGTGTAAGCCACACACACTTCAAAACCGAAATCCTATGCCGTTGTGGCTTCCTTAGGGACCCGGCAAGTTCCATGAGCTTGTTTCGGCCAGCCAGTCCTGCGAGAGGCTTCCGGCTTCGGTTTTTGGGGTTTCGGGTTTCGGGCTTCGGGTTTAAGGATTAGGGTCCAGGATTTGGCGCTTGGGTTTGGGGCCTGGGGTTTAGGGAGCTTAGGGCTTCGGACACGTTTTTCAATAGCAGAACTCCGGAACAGAAACTTGGTTCTTGATCTAGTGTAAGCTCACACATTGGGTAGGCAAGGCAAATACAACGTTTTCCTCTCCATGTAACTCAAACGACGCTCCTGAATATGAACCCAGACAACCAAACCCTGGACCCCAAACCGCACTCCGTTTGCTCTACCCCATTCACCCTGAGACATACACCTCAGACCCCAGACCCTACAACCTCAACCAAGTCCTGTGCCACGAAACCTTATTTCCTGTAAACCCAGTGCTAAACGCACCCGCTAAACGTTAAACCCTAAACCCTCGCCCTAAACCCCAAGCCAAAGCAACCGAAGCTCACCACCCCCAACAAAGGCAACTCAATACTTAAATACTTAGAAGAGAAAGTACTTGTATACGGTCCGTATACAAAACACCGAAGGTCTAGTGTTGGTACTATTCAGGCTACGGGCGTGAATAATTAGAATAGGGCTTGGTGAGTATAGTCCCTGAACCCTAAACCCTAAACAGTAGCAAACCCAAACACAAACACTCCTGGAGTCGCTCCACTGACTCGGTCGCAGTTTCCCTTAGTCTTTAGCGGGTGGGGTTCTTTAAAAAACGGCTCTCTGAGGATTTCTTCATGGGTTCTGAAGGGTTCTAGGGTTCTAGAAGGGCTCTAGAAGGGTCAAGGTTTTTTAAGCTTAGGGTTTACGGTTTCATGCTGTAGTGTGGCTCCTTTCCCAAGTGAGACCGGCAGCAAAACATCAGCCCAAAATCGGAGAGCTTTAGGGTTCAGGGTTTAACTTTTGGGGGTTTGGGCTTCAGGATTTGGGGCTTGGTTGAGGGTTTAGGGCCTCGTGTGAATAATGGCTGGGGAGGAGAAGAATAGCTAAGCCCTGAACCCCGGGGAGTCGTCTGGGTAGGGCAGGCTTCGTTACGAATTAGCATCAGCAGGGCGTTGTGAGTTTTCTGGTATAGCTTATACAACTCTATAGGGGTTATGCGGGAATACTAGCACGAATGACTCAGACCACAGACTGCAAAGCTTCAGATAAACCTTACATAAGCCCAGAACAAAGAATGCTCTCAGGGATACTTGCCCAAAAGCTGGCTGTGACGTCTTGGACTGGTCTGCTCCGGGGGTTTTAACTACCAGTACTAGGATCTGCTTGGCAGCAAACACATCGCGAAAGGGCATGTACCTCAAAAGAAGGGCTTAACGTGTTTGAGCTCGAAGGCTTGGAATTTAGGGTGTAGGGCTTGGCAGTGTCTCCGTTAATGAGCAGCAGAAGTGCTGGCAAGGGTCAGAGACACTCTCCACATCGTGAGGTAGCTTCTCACGCAGTCCGGGGTGGTGTCCATGCCTTGTGTTGTGCGTACCCTAAACCCTCAATTCGCTTAGCCCTAAATCCAAAACCCTAAATTCCCTTAGCCCCAAACCCTAAACCCTCTGCTTCAGGAGGGCAGGTACAAGGCTTTAGGAGGATTCTTTCAAGTTTCACCTCGGGCTGACAAGATTCTAGGCTCTAAGCCCGAGGTCTTTTTTGAGGGCCTTCTGACGTCTGCACGAAGCGTACCTTGGTTTTAGAGCTTGGGGTTTAGGTTTAGGAAGCCTAGCGGCACATGAATGTAGGGTTTGTGGTTGGGAGTTCGTGCTTCTGACTTGCAGCTCAATGTCTGGCGGGTGTGTTTCAAAAAGGTTTCAGGGCTTTGGGGTTTGGGATGCTACCCTAAACCCTAAACCCCAAACCCTAAACCCCAAGCCCTAAACCCTAAACCCCAAACCCCTAAACCAACCAAACCCTGAAGATCTATCTCACGGAGTTCAGCCTTGGCTTTAGCTTAACATCCCGTGGTTAGAAGCCTGAGCCTGTAGCGACTCTCGAACCAGCCAGGGCCAGTTTAGAGCTTTAAGGTTCAGTTTGGGGTTCAGTAGTTTAGGGCTTTAAGGTTCAGTAGTTTAGGGTTTAGGCTTTAGCCCATCCATAGAGAAGACCGTAAATCCTGAACCTTGTGCTCCACCGGCCACGCACACACAAACCGTTTTCAGCTACGTCGACGAGTTTCTCTGCTTCTCAGGCTTACTCTAGGATTTAGGGTGGTGGCAAGGCTGGAAGGAGCTCGGAAAGCTGCGCCCTGCCCGCTGCAGTCCTACGTTCTGCCGAACCATCTAACCCCCAATCCAACGGATCACCCAACCAAAACCCTCAGACCCCTTAACCTGCAAGCCCCTCGATTTCTAAACCCTGAAGTCCTCAAAAGCTCAATAAACAAAACCTATGATCGTGGCTCCATATTAAAAGTACCCTGAAGTAGGCGAACCTTGTAAGAAGAAGAAGAATACGGTAAATAAGAACAAGTATAGGAACAAGACTAAGAACAAGAGTAAGAGTACGAATTAGAATAGGAAGAATAGGGACAAGAAGTTGCATAGGAATAAGAACAGGAATAAGAATAAGAAATAGAATTGCAGTTGGAATTGGAACTAGAATTAGCATAAGCACAAGCATCAGAACAAGAAATAAGAGCAGAAGCAAGAGTAAGAGTAAGCGTAAGAAACAGAATGTGAATATGAATAGGGCTAAGAATGGGAATAAGAATGAGAATAAGGATAAGAATAAGGATGATAAATTGAATAATCGTTGTACAGGTTAGAAACTATATGCATGCATATACACACATATATATATATATATACACACCATAAGTGTATGTGTATAATTATATGTTTCAGTATGTATGTATCTAGGCTAATCAGATTAAGAGTCCCTAAACTAAACCTTTACGCACAACCGCCACCCCAACCCTAAACCCCCAAAACCCCAAAATCCTAAGCGCCATTCCCTGTGCGAAGTGCAGAACCCGAGCTTGATCAGGGAAGTGAAGAGCCTGGGGCTTGCTTGTAGTTGCTGAGTTCATAATCCCCCAGAAGTACACACTTTCAGTTTTATAGTGGGTAATGCTATCCCAAAAAGTGTAAAGTGTATCCACTCAGCTACTAAGTGCTTGTAGGGTTCAGTGAAGGACTCAGGGGTTCAGAAAGGGAGGGTATGTTGGGCGGCAGGTAGGGTTGAGGGCTTTGGGGTTTAAGGGTTCAATTTTTTCGGTGTCGTTGAGGGTAGCGTTTCAAGGCTTGTGAAGGATTTTGTGTTGGGCATGATGTGAAGGCTAATTGCCAGTGTTGGGCTTGCCGGTAGACACAATTTGGGTGACGCCAACAACGCTGCGAGGGTGTAGCTGATTTCAGAAAGGAGCTACTCATACGGGAAACTTGTGAGTCATCCATACTCCCGATGAACAGCCCGCCGCTCCCTTAAGTGAAGCTACAACACGGATCCCAAGTTTAAGATTGTCAAAGAATAGGCGCTCGAGGCTCAGGGGGCCTACATGGCCTGCGAACCTTCAAGCATAGCGCTTCTACCTCGTCTGAAGCTGTAAAACCGCCCTCGAAGGTATCTAACACTGGGACCTTCATGCTCAAATGTGGTTCCGAGTGATCTTGCGGTATAGCTATGGAGGGGCCATGAGGGCTCACAACCTCTAATTGCTTGGAGGGATGAGGGTTTGGGGCTGGAGGTTTCGATTCAGGAAGTCGGGCTTGGAGGTTTCTGGAGGGGTTTTAGATGCTACTTGGAGGGGCAGGGGACTTAGTAAGTCGTTTATATGTAGGGTTATAATTGGAGTATCTCCATTTAGGGTACTTATAACTCTACTTATAACCTACCTACTAAGTCCCCTGCCCCTCCAAGTAGGGTGTCGGGCCTAAGGGCTGTAGGGTTCACACGGAAACCAAGAGGCACATTGGTTGAGGTGTTGATGCCCAGAAGGTCCACAGATATTGCGAGGATAGACCCACAGCAAAGACTCTTGAAAAGACACAATTCTGCCCTTAACCCTCAACCTAAACCCGAAACTTAAGCACGGACTGAACCCCCGAACTCATAGAGGACTCCTCAATCCTCAGCCCAAACCTCCAAAACCCCACAGCCCAAAAGCCCTCAAGAGAGCAAACATACATACATAAGCTTAAACCTAAACCCTGAAACCGTAAGCAACCCCAAACCCTAAAATCCAACAAGCCCACGCAGACCACCACAGCCTCCATCTGGCTCAGAGCCAAGGGGCACCCCACCGAAGCACTCGTCGTTGACGAGGTGGACAAGACTGATCTGCCACACATGTCGCTCATTGTTTGGGATTTTTAAGCCTCGGCGTTTGTGGCCCTAGGGCCAAGATTTCTGGGTCTAGCAACGATGTTTGCCCTGTCCCTTCGTAGTCGCTTTTCAAGAATCTACTTGAGGCCCCCATATCAGCTTCACAGCTTAGGGGCTCTCCGAAAGAAACTTAGTTCTAACTCAATGTGCTGAGGCTTAGTCGACACGGCATGAAAAACAGCCCGGGAAATCCAGAACCCCAAGCCCAGAAATCCCAAACTCAAAACTCCAGAACCGCAAACCCGCAGATCCTGAACCCTGAACCCAAGAACCCTAGAATCCTAGAATCCCACAGCCTGAAAAATCCGAATGCCCGAAATGTAGCCGAAGACCTCTTCGCCCCGAGAACTACGCCCTTGGAGAGTAGAGAGGGCTTCTATGGGGGTTGGGGTTTAAGCTTAGCGTTTGCAGCTGTTGCTTCGGGCTTTGGTGATTTAAGGCTTCCCTCCCGCTCCCCAAGCCTTGTCCATGTCAAAGAGCAGCCTGCAGAAGCTGATAAGCTTTAATCGGCTTAGGGTTTAGAGGGTTTAGGGTTATAGGGGTTAGGGTTTCGCGGTTTTGGGATTAGGGTTTAGGGATTAGGGTTTCGTGGTTTTGGGGTTCAGGAACCTATGATATTGACTTGAGGGGTCACACCATCGTTCTCATCAACAAAGTCAGCGTCAACATCATCATCACCACCACCACCGAGCTCCAGGCCTACAACATGCTTAGACTCGGGCTGCAGGAACCGCAAATGATGACCTCAACGCACGAAAAACAACCCCCCCCCCCCACCCCTCCCCCATAATGGCATGGTTTTGGAACTAAGTTTAAGCTCAAGTACCTATTACACGAAGAAGCCGACAACTGACAACCCCTGCATCCTGACGCGCTGAAGCTCCGGGCACTTCCCATCAATGTAGGGGCTGTTATGCTTCCAACTCTAGTTCTATCAGTCCTTCGCAGAGCCCTGATGTAGAAGCCTACATGATGAGACTAACGTTTGCTAAGGGGTATAAGTGGGGCTTCTATACGGTAATTAAAGAACCCCTGCAGATAATTACAAAACAATCTCTCGATTCCTCCCGACAGTGATTAAACTTCACCCTCAACCTCAAAGCAAAACCCTAAACCCTGAACCCTAAACCAAAACCCCAAACCCTAAACTTAACCCTAAACCCTAAAACAACAAAACCCTAAACCCAAAAGCCCACGCTGAACCAAAACCCTAAACCCTAAAACCAAACCCGCGCCTCAAGACGTCATCCGACTCCACCGAATCCGGTAGAGCCTGCGCGGCTTCCCAAAGGAGTGGCCTGGGAGCCGCTAGAAGGGTTTGGGGTGCAGGGTTTCGGGTTCTGGGCGGAGGGTTTAGGCTTAAGATGATTCAATCTTTCCGACTCTGTATGCCTGTGAAAAACCATGCCCCTGTCTCATGTATTAGTTAGCAATGACCATTTCCATTTTCTAACCATGCCCCACCCCCTAGCACCCAAACCATAACAACCTATGCCTCAACCCTAACCCAACCCAAGACTCATAGGTAGAACCCCAGGAAAGACTCACCCAAAGACCCAAAACCATAACAACCTATACCCAATACCCACAAAATGGAACCATTAGAAGAACCATATGTAACCTCATAGAAAAACCCCAACCTCAACCTCATACACCAATACCCTGATAGAAAACCCGATAGTATCCACCCGAAATCCCTAACCTTCGAAAATGGAAATGGTCTTCTTAAATAATTTTACAATAATAGGAATAAGGTTTAGGGATAAGGTAGTAAATACGAGACAAGAATAATATTATTTCAGCAAAATAATATTACTATTGGTTTATTATTTAGGATTGATTAGCTCACCATAATCTTTCTCAATATCCTGAATACTTATATTAATCCACTTAACAGCATTTTTTGGTTTCACATCTAAATATTTAGTGTCTTTGCTTCCCCCATTCTGACAAAGTATTTCAATATGTTCAGTTAAATCCGAATATTGTTTTATTAACTTTCTATCTTCCTGAATTTTACCTTCTAAAATAGATATATCGCGCCTAACATTCAGGACATCTTCTTGGTCAAAAACACTTTCATAAAATTTAAGCAACTTACATAGCTCCTTAATTTTATTTGAATAATCTATTTCATTTAATTTCATTTGATATATCTTCTTGATATACTTCACTTGTATTTTATATGTATTCAAATCTGTATAATCCATTTCCTCTTAATATATATATACATACTTGTTATTTCTTTAAGTGTTTTTCTTTAGAAATTCTTTTCTTAAGATTTATCAACAGGAATTTCAATAATCATCCTATCCTTATGCCTTCCGAATAGCATAAAGTAATCTTCTAGAAACTCATCATTCATCAGCAACTGATGGACGTGATTGAATACTTTATCAAGATCGGATTTAGGTTTGTCATGATCGGATTTAGGTTTCTCGGGTTCTGGATGTGGTTCTTCATCAACAAGTTTAAGAGGAAATTGTTCGTTTAATCGTTTGCGTATTTCCTTTTTCTGCTTTTCGTATTCTGCCTTAATCTCTGCTTGTAATTCGTCGTTTAGTTTGCCTTCTTTCCTTAAATTACCTAATTTCCTTAAATAATCTTTCATCAATACGTTTAGTTCCGAATTCGGATGTAAGGCATAATGGAAATGGGCATCCCAGTTTTCGTGTTTTATCTTATGTCCGCATACTTCACATAATTGGCTCCCCTTTGCTCTCTCTTCTCTTCGTGCCTGATTATACTCGTTCTTGTTCTTACCGTAACATTTTCTTTTCGCTTCACGGCATTTATTACAAGTCTTAAAACCATCAAATTCTTCAATCTCTTTTGTCGCGCAACACGATTTACATATCATTTTCTCCATCTTATTAAACTAACAATGTCTAGTCTTTAGGCACGGTCAGACTGATAAAACAAACATTCATTCTAATAATTGAATTCATTAATTATTAGAATATTTCATGTCTAGAGTTCCTTCTAGCAAAAGAAAATGAGTGCGGGGCAACACTTCCAAACTAATTAAATACCATTACCACACTCTTTTGATATGCCTATGGTTAGCAAACCGGGCACTGGTATCTGGGGACACTCTGTCAATAACTAACATCATCAAACCTTTAGACTATTTTAATATTTCTTCTAATTGACAAAATTCAAACAACAACTTAAATCGTTTCTTATAATCTTCATAATGATGATAATCCTCCAGTTCATCTATTATAGCACTTAATCTAGCATCATACATTCTAATATTTTTTCTTTCACCTAACCAGTCTTTCTTTTCCTCCTTATTTGCTGTTTTAGGGCATAAACAATCCATATATTACACTTTATGTTTTAATCCAATAGTTTTAGATTATGATACTTCTTTAACATTTCTAATTCTTTCTCTAGATTGTTTAACCTAATTTCAAGTCGTTCTTCGTGCGACACACTGCGTTTGAACTCATTGTCTATTTCTTTCATATTTCTGTCTCTAATTAAGTCAATTTTTCTTTCAAGTTCTTCTATGCTTTCTTCAACTGTTAATGTTCTCGGTTGAAGTTCAGGGGTAGTCCCTCTATTTCCAAAACCGAGCGAGCATGTCTCTATATTCTCTTCAACTGTTGTCCTTCCGTTTTCATCAACTGTTTTCTTCTTTGTTTTATTAATAAAGTTTCTTTTACATCTACAAGTAAAACAAGAAATGCCGTCCTTACTGACACTAAAACCGCCAGTGTTTTTATCTTCTTCTTTTACATTTTCCATTATACTATTTAGATTTTTGTTATTCTTCAAACATATTACAACTGCTTTGATAAAGTCTAATGATAAAGAGCAACATCTTTTAATCTTACTATCTTTGATTACCTCTTTTTCTATTTGTTTTATACCTTCAATAGTTTGAATATAAGTATCATATTTTGTATCCATTATATAATTATAATGCTATATTTTCTATCTATTATTAATAATGATTACTCCTATAGTTAAACCAGCAAATGTAAAAGAATATGACTTCAAACAATCTGAATACGATGTAGCGCCTAGATTACCATTTTTTCAAATCATAACCGGCCCGAGTGGTTCAGGAAAAGGAATTCTACTTCAATCAATGATACTAGACATATACAGGGATGTTTTTGAAAGAATATATATTTGGTCTCCTTCAATTTCAGTTGATAGTAATTGGACACCAGTTAAAAAATACATTCAAGATAATTTAAAGGTGGATTTAGAAAAGGAAAAGTGCTTCTTTGATGAAAACATTCCAGAAGAACTAGAAAAGGTGATAAAGCAAAAACATAAGGTAATAGAATACCAGAAGAAGAACGACCATAAGAAATTATTTTCAATCTTAGTTATTGTAGATGATTTCGCAGACAGCAAGGCATTTTCAAGAAATAGTCCGTTATTAAATCAGTTATATGTTAGAGGCAGACACAACGCTATTAACATCATAACGGCAACGCAGAAATTCAATGCCCTAAGTCCTATTATTCGCGTTAATAGTCGTCAGTTGTTTTTCTTCAGGTTAAGAAACTACAAAGAAATAGAAACAATGGTGGAGGAATTAAGCGCCATATTGATTAAGAAGTCATCCGTGGCAGACTAAAAACCTAGCAGAAGCAAAGAAACTAATGTTAGAAGTGTATAATTTAGCAACGGAAGAACCATACAGTTTTTTATTCATTAACCTAATGAAGGGCGATGTGAATGAAATGTTTTATACACGATTTGATGCTAAATTGGTAATTGACTAGATAATAATATCAATAGTTATTATTATCTAATTAAAATAATGAATAACTACATAGATTAACAGAAGGTAGTTTATAACATATTTTATCGCTCTTTGTTTCTTCTAATTTTTCAATTCTGTCTATACAATCCTTTACAGTATTAAAGAGTAAAATATCGGTTTTAGTTTTTTCATTAATATCTAATTCTTTTATTTGTTTCATATTTTCACTCGCTGTAGATTTAGATGATTTAGAACCCATATATATCAATATTTAGATAAATATTTTAATCGCTGTCGCTTTTACCCTTCCCCTTCAACTTGTTTATTTCCTTTGTCAATTTATCTACTTCATTTATTGTTGCTTGTAAAGCACTCCATAAAATCGGTGTAGTAATTGTGTAGTCAAACTTCAAATAGCCGTCAGTTCCTTCCATGACTAAGTTCTGCCATTCATCTGGCATCTTCTTCGTTTCCATAAAATCATTAGCAATGAAACCCACGCACGATTTACCTTTTTGTCTGTCATCAATAAAATGATATGTTTTTGGTTTAATATATTTTACTAATTCTACTGCTTTTTTACTATTTAGTTCTTTTATGTCTTTATTTAACCTTTTATCCGATGAAGGAATCAATGAACCTGTATATGAAAGGTCGCCATAAACATCAACACCGTTATTTGTTGCGTCTAATCTTGATAAATTATTATTACTTAATCTAATTAAACCATCTGCATCCGGG